AAAGAGCATAAAAACACTAGAAACTGGACCACAAGGACCAAGGGAGACAGCAGAACAGCCCTCAGCTGGCGTGTATGCAGCAGGAGATGGTTGAGACTACATAAAAATGACCATGTAAAAGTGGCTTTTATTTTAATTTTACATTGAAATTGCAACAGTTATCCAGCCTACCTGATGGGAATTGCGGCTTGACGGTAAAAGGAGGTTTAAGAAGCCAGTATATAGTCACGCTAGGACCCGGATTTGGGTATCTCACGTTTAGTATTAAAATCCCGCGATCAGCCGAGCAGCTTCTTGCCGAAAGATATGGCCGAATCCGCCGCCTTGTCCTTGGCCGCGTCGGAGATGGCTTTTTCTGCGGCGTTGGTCAGTATGTCACACAAGCCGGTGGGTTCTGCAATTTACAGATCGTTCGTAATTACGTTAGTTACATATTAAGGCATGGGCGCAAAGCACTTAAATAATACGCAGGGCTGATCCGTCACGCACCCGTCTTCGGTGGCTCCGGCGGCGGCTCCGGCAGCTTCTGCTGCTGCTTCCCCCCGCTTCCGATCAGTTGCCCAACCTTCTCCTTTGCTACACCGGCTGAAACATTTTAAACATCGCGATGAGATTATACAGTTCTAAGATAGGGAAACGTTACAGAACCGTAAGGAGAATAGCATAATTTGTTTTCATTACTCAACATTACAAACCTGTTACGGTGATTATACTGGTCCGGCTTAGAAACATTGACCAGGTAATTGCATTATAAAAACCCAAGGTGGGTTTGTAACCGGAAAAGAACACAAGATTTAATCTGAGCGTAAAGACTGAAATTATACGACAGATTTGTGCGCTCTTTGAAGCAATAAGGTTTTATATGACAGAAAAGTCAGACTCAGTCATTTAATACGGACACAGGAAACCCCCGAAAGAGCGAGAGCGGTCGGGGATTTTAATTTGCCACTAAAATTAATATTTAAACACAGAAATCCTTATCCCGCAACAGTCTACCGATAGCGGTTTGAAGATGAATAGATTGGTATTTTAGAATATGAAGAACTTGATAATTGTCCTTGTTACATGCATTACTGGGTTATTATAGATTTCTGCATTTTGGTTACTTTATGAAAACACATCCATCTTCCAACCGCCTAGTCAGGCTCGCGGGGTGCCTTACAGAAACAGAAAATATATAGGGAATTAATTGGAGTGTTGCCGCGTGCAACTGGGTAGATCGACAACCAGTGGGACAGTCTGTCAGCAGCCGAAAGGTGCACCGCAAACGCGCCCCCTCCGGTAGCCAAAACTCAGTCGAATATCCACGAAAAAGATGCGGGGGACACGCATCACAACAGACGAACATTTACGCTGAACAGCAGCTGCTTGAAGTTTTAAAAACTTACCCAACTAGCAGCACAAGTCAATGCGGCAGTTTATTTGTAAGAAACTTTCTGTGTTTTTTTAGTAACTGTCGAAGCAATTTTTATACAAATAGTTTTACTACTAAGAACTACTTGGTTTAAGTGTATTTAAGTATACGACAAAACATTCACTGAATCATTCCTCCTTCTGTCTCTCGCATGCCCATCTCGGAACTCACCGGCTTGGTCGATGACCTTGTTGACCTGGCCCTCCCCGACGGCGCCCTTGATTAAGTCCATGTCCGAGTGTAAGTCCTGTGGTCCTGTTGGTTTCTGCTGGGGGATGATGTGAGTGGCTGCGTCGTCTGGCAAATCCAGGCAGGGGGAGAGTCTTATACAGTCGTACTCCGCTGAGGACCAGCCCATAGAACCGGGCTCTCATGGGGGTGTGATCTTTAGATGTTGCAAAGTTTACACACACACACACACCAATGTGTACTGCCTTACAAACACAGATGCACACAGTCCCTCAACTGACACTTGGAGGTAATTAGTTTTGTTCAAACTAGTTTAATTTAAAACAGGCTTGGCAAAATAACGACCAGTTATGCCAAGTAAGGATCCAGATTAATGAATCATTGTTTTAAAAGCTCTGAGGCTGGCTGCCCCTCCACTCTCCACTGGCATGACTCCACCCAGCAGGACAAACCAGCACAAACTGACTGTGCTCCCGGGAACAGAGCAGGGATTTACGTACAGAAGCCAGACTCCTAACTGCCATGGTTAGAAAATTACATGTAAACAAACAAACGTGAAAACAGGAAGGATGGAAGGACAAAGAATAAAGGGGTTATATAAACATCTGTGTATGCAAGGGCATGGATGGTCACGGGGGGCATTTCGGAAGGGCGGGGACACTGGGCACACCCTCCTGGTGCTGGGCATGAGCTCCCTCCCGAGCCGGGAATTTTGATGGAAGAGAAATAAAAAAATTGTGTTATTTAATTTGGATTTTGGTAAGCCCCATAATTTCTCCCAACAAAAGCCACCAGATACCTATGAGTCTATTCTGGGATGGGATAGATAGATGGATAGATGGATGGATGGATGGATCGATGCATTCAGCAGTCAAATCTAAATGCAAAATGTTTAGAGAGATTTGAGGGCCATTTCCAAGGTTACGGTCTCCTGTTACAGCTTCCTGCATATTTCAAACACAGCTTAGAACTCAGTTCCTTTCACTTCATCACACAATGGGTCATTTAGAGCTTCCCCAAACAGTCTTTATACTGCAGGAGGAATCAAGAGTGCCCAGAGGGGAGCCACACAACAAAAAGAGAACATGCAGCCTACCCACTGTTCCACCATAGTGTATCAGTATGCTGGCTCTACCATCCTTGTTTATCTTCATCCCCCTGCTGGTGATAGGCAGTAATGCATGTTGTTACCAGGCTCCATATTATATTCCTACTGAACTAAACATAGTCCCACCTGGCCCCACCTTACTCATTCCTCTCGGCCTGGCATATGCCAACACGACTTGGTCATGTCCTGGAATGATGACTGTAATAAAAGCCTAACATGTGCTTAAGTAGTTAGGTTCAGGGTGTGATTCAGAGTTGGGAAGCTCACCTTGCCTCTCCAGTCTCCCTTTGCCTGCTGAGAAGCAGATACATCCCCCATGTCAGATGTTTTATCAGCTTACGATGACCTGCTGTGCTACTCTGACAGTTGTGTCTTTAGCCAGCATGCAAATAAAGGTACAGCTGTAGTTTTGGAGGCCATAATCACACTGTTACCGTGTGCCGTTTGACATTAAGAAAAGCCTTTAATGATTTATGTAAAAGGCCCATCTAACAACAGGAACAGCAAAAATGTTTAGTAGCTTGCTAATTATACCGCTGGGCCAGATATGTCCTGTTCCTGAGACCTAGTGAGTGGATGCTTACACCATGTCAAACTGAAAAAGGCATGACGGATATACAGAGAGCTCAGAAGCAGCTGCTGCAAAGCAGGACAATCTTGGAGATGATGTTCTAAGGGATTTCCAAAGTCTGCTATCCGGGTGCACTGAGGACGGCAAGACGATATCACTTTACACACGTAATAAGTGAACATAAAGACAATCCAAAAATATTTTTCAGAACCATTTCACGAGTCCATTTCATAAGTCCTCTTTAGCCAGCTAAACTTGAAAACGTATTTTAAAAGATGATTAATTGAAGTCATGAGTTGTTTCTTTCTGTTAAATCGGGTAAATTGTACTGTAGCTTCAATGCTTCAAATTTGATTGATCTGACAGATGTTTTTATCCAAAGCGATGAACATTTAGAAAAAGTGGGGTCACACAGTGCCTGGAGCAAACTGCTGACCTGTGGATCTGAACCAACGACCTTCTGATCACAGGCACACTGCCCCCCACAACACTGGATCCTGTCCCTGACATATGGCATTCACAACTACTCTGTTAAATCCAGTACATTTCCCATTGCACTGAAACTGCTTATTGGTGTCGGCTTTACGTAAAAAACAAAGCAAAAGTATATTTTCTAAACTCTCTTCTAAATCAGTTATATAAACTTTTAAGCAACATAATGTTTTTCAAGCAAAGTGGCTAATGTGGCTAAGTGGGCTAAGCCTCTGTGCTTGTGATCAGAGGGTTCTTGGCTTGAGCCCCGGCCTCGGCACATCTGTGGGTCCTTAAGCAAGGCCCTCAACCCCCAGCTCCCTGGGTGCCGCTACAGGTGGCTGCCTTTCCTGGCCAGCTTGCTCTCTCCTACAGAGAGCAAGTTGGTGGAGGAGTAAAGAGAATTTCAACACAGGGTCAATTTAAAAAAAGTATCAATTAGTATTAAGTTCAGACAGGTTTTCCTAGTAGTTCACTGTAGGGGAAGCACTGTCAGTGACCTCAGTGGGGTCAGTGATCTTCCGTCATTGTAGTGCAGCTCACGTGCCGCCTTTCACACTGTAGATCATTGTTCTTCTTAATTAATCACCTTCACCTTCAGGCCTCTGGGCCATTGCTCCTCTTACTCTATGCGCTGCCTCTGCAGAATGTAATGGAGGGGGTGTGGCTTATGGTGCGGCTCAGTGGCTTAGGCCTCTGTGACCAGTGAGAGAGTGGGGAGGGGGGGCAATCATGCTTGGGCACTGTACAAGCCACCGGGCCTAGTGTGAGTACGGCCATAACAGAAACCGAGCCCAAGACGAGATACGCAAGAAACACATTCCAATGTATCTGTACTTGAAGAAATGGCAAATAAAGCTTTGTTCTTCAAGCATGGACATGACACACCTGAGTATCCCGAGATGCTCAATTAAACTATGTCTCCGACTCCCGCCTTTTTGTCCTGAAAACAGTTGATTTAATTTTTGTCACTGAGCAGGTGAGGAATCTGTGTCCGTTTTTGGAAGGTCAGAGGTTTGAATCCCCTGACTCTCAGTAGTGGTATCTGTGTTCAGGTCCTGAGTGAGGTGCTAACCTTCAGCGTCTCCAGAGATGCTGGCCGACCCTGATCTCTGGCCCCAAGCCTCCCTCACTTAGATATTACATCATTAATTAAATGAATGTACACGTCAATATAATCTAATGAAATTAAAAATGAAGCATCATAATTTTGTTGCAATGCAGAGAAATAAAAGACAAGACACTGGTTCTGGATTTCAAGAAAAATCATCTTTAATTAACTGGTATTGTTTATAAAATCAGCTTGGATGCCGATGTACACACGGTGGGTTTGTGAGTGTGGGCGTGTTGCTGTGCGTGAGGTTTAGCGTGTTCTCCATGGGCGTGGGGTGCTGCATGCGTGTGTCTGTGCGCCCTTATGACGGTACATAGAACTACTATGAAGGATCGAACTGCCGAGGCGTAATGAACCCCCCAACTGGTACGTAAGTCTTACTCCCGACACCATGCATGTGATGTTACATCATTCTCTTTGTTTTCTTTTGGTTCCAAAGAAGCAATCCAGACAGGTGGGCCTCATCCTACTAACCTTATGTGAGGCTAATGAGTATGAATTATATGCAGAAATGCACAAGGAATGTCACGCTAATGCTAATAAGCAGTAAGTCCAGCACAACGGTACACGTCCAAGATGAAGAATAGAAGGGGCCGCACTGGATGCACAGGAACCGGCCAGTTCTCTCTACTGCGGACTGGAATGTAGCATTTAGACCCTCAGTCTGAGGACAGGAGATGGACTGTGAGGTACTTGTCTGTGTTTGTGTGTGCGTGCGTACGTGTGAGGAGACCACTGCAAGGCGACAGGGTCAAAGTGTGTGAGCAACGACAACACGGTGCGTGAGATACTAACACTGGATGAAGGAGTGGGCAGGGTTAAGGATCTACGGGGCTGGGAGGGTCTCTCTGATTCTCGGTCACAAAAAAATGTTGGTAAGAGTTTGTGTCTCAGTGGTGGACAGTGGTGCTGAGAGACGGGGCTGGTGTAGCTTGTCCTCAGTCATAGGATTAGTATCACTGGGAAAAGGGAGGGAGACAGAGAGATTTTTTCAGTGCAACATCTATAATTTTCCTCATGTTTCAAACAAAGACTACTTTTGCCGCATTAAAATATAGTAACATAATTCACAGCAAAATATATAGAACAGAACCAGAAATATCAAAGTGAACTCTAATCTGCGCTGTCAGAGTTCCAAGGTCTCGATGGGGTTTTTGCAATTAACAATGAAAGTGTCTCGTCCCAGTTTGTGAATGAATGGCAACACGTGCTACTGGATTGAGCAGTATCATTTCTGCATGGTTTGGTCAGAAGCCGCTGCTATCCATGCCTTCCTACGTACCTCATCGCTCCCCGGCTCTGCGACGGCGTCTCCTTGAGAAATGTCACCCTGTAGGCAAAGTGAGTGTTAGCATTAGCGTTATATTTTACAGTAAATATATACACAGTGCCTATAAGCTGGACACTCGGAAATTGCTGAAGTGATCGAAAATCGGTGCTGTCAGATTTCCAAGGTCTCGATGGGGTTTTGCGATGACCAGTGAGAGGATTTCCCCCTCCCCCGCTTTGCTCTGCCCTGCTTACCTCATCACCCCCCTGCTCTACGGCGCCCTCTCCACCCTGCAGGCAGAAACAGGAAGTATTACCACCAGTGTTATCGACATTAGGTTCTTTTAAAGGTTTGTAGAGATTTGTAAGGTTTGTAGATTTTCCTCATGTTTCATACACAATAGGGATGAGTCAGCATTGTCAAATATTAGAGAATGTATATAAAATGGGAAAAGTCATAAAAATGAATAAATGAGCTTCATTTAAACATTATTTAGCAACAATAACATTTATTGTCGTTTATGCGTTCTCTAATAAGTTTGATGTTTATTTGTTCTGAAATTGTATTTGTATATCATTTTTAAATTATCAAGATTGTTAATGTCTTTCATATTGATATTTATATTCTATTTGCCACTGTTTTTCTTGCACAATGACCAACCAGATCATAATTTCATCTCAAAATATGAACCATGTATGATACAGCTGAAAATGACAATAAAGATCTTTGACAGTGTAAAATTAAACAACTAAACAGAACCATAAATATCTAATAATCTCAAATCTTTGATGTCAGACAGAGGTCCAAGGTCTCAAGGTGGTTTTCCAATCAACAAGGAAAGTCTTTCACTGTCCTGGTTGGGAATCCACTGCAAAGCATGCTACTGGATTAAGCGGAATCATTTCTGCATGGTTTTGATCCGTGATCAAAGCTGAGCTGCTTCTGCTGGAGTTCGCTCCCTCCTACTTATGACTTACTCGTACCTCATCACCCCCCTGCTCTACAGCGCCCTCTCCTTGAGTAAAGTCACCCTGCAGGCAAAGAGACAGGCAGTGTTACCATTAGCATTTGCAGTGGTGGGTTTGTTACAAGATTTGCAAATTTCCTCATATGTCACACATAATTTATGTTTGTTGCATAGCTATAATAATATATTTTACAGCAAAATGTATGCAATTTTCTGATCAAATGCAGAAATTTCAAGGTAAATTCAATTTTCAGACAGAGGTCACATATAGGCTCAATGGTGTTACGTAAATAAAAATGTTTCACTATCCTGGTTTGTAGATCTACTGCAAAATGTGCTACTAGATAAAAGAGAATCATGTTACTGTCACTTGACTTCTGAGAAACACAGTGAAACTGCTGTTCCACAGCTGCGGGGGAGGGGACAGGTGCCCGGAGGGGACAAAAGGACAAGAAAACAGTGCAATAGAAGACAAACAGCAGTGCAATAAAAGGAAAGACGATGCAAGACAAAAGATAGTGGAGGCATTTCTACGTTTTTTAATCTCAGCCCGAGCTAAACTGCTGCTGCTGTGCAAAATGTGATTCCCCGCACTCTGCTCTCTCCCGCTTACCTCGTCACCCCTCTGCTCTATGGCGCCCTCTTCTTGGGAAACGTTACCCTGCAGGCAAAGAAACCAACAGTGTTTTGTTGTATACAGATATAATGATTTATGGATTTTTACATTAAAATGTACAGAATATGATTGTAATTAAACAGGAGAACAGAAGCAGACATTTATAAGTGATGTCTGTGCAGGTCTCAATGGGGTATTGCAATTAACATTGAAAATGTTTCGCTGTCACAATTTGTGAAAAAATGGCAACACATGGAATAAGCAGAATCATTCCTGAATGGTTTTGAACCTCAATCAGAGCTAAGTTGCTTCTGCTGCTGTCCGCTCCCTCCTACTTACCTTCTCACCCCCCTGCTCCATGGCACCCCCTCCTTGAGAAAAGTCACTCTGCAGACATAGAGACAGACAGCATTAGCGTTAGCATTAGCGTTAGCAGCGGTAGGTTACCCCAGAACAGTCAGGTGGATGTTGCCTTATGTCTTGCTAACATGCAGAAAGCTGAACCTCGTTTGGCTCTCCAGCTCAGGACAGCTCTAGTGTTCTTACAGCACCAGCAAGCAGCAGCGACGATTCACAGAACCAAATGAGTTATTCCACTCAGGTGTTAGACAGCAGGCCGTTAACACATGTACACGGGATTTGTCATGTGTCAGGAGGGTGTGTCATGCCACATTAATTACAATACATAAGTTTAATTAGTTTCAGGGATATTTAAGCATTAAGATATTAAAGTATTCTATTGTTTTGTAAAATACATGATCTGTAACATTTAAGGAGAAAAAAAAATCTTTGTTAAATAAACTAATTCAAACAATGGCAAACAGGTGGTCTTAACAAAGACGCGCACCACATAGAACTGAATGTCTCCATAGACGTAAAGGATATCCATTCTGCCAGAACGGTCTCCTGTCACACCCCTCACTGTCTCTCTTCACTGGCTCCCTATTGGCTCTCGCATCAAGTTCAAGTTGTTAGGTGCTGGTTTAGGGGTCCATTAATGGACAGGCGCCCATCTCCATCAAAAGGCTCCTCAGATACTGTGTCCCAGCTCGCTCCCTTCAGGCAGCAGACCAGCGCCGCTCGGAGCTCCCTCCACCGCACGAGGAGTGTCATTCACTGGGAGCCCAGCTTAGCTGCACTATGTCTAGTAAGCTCCTTGACAGCATGATTGTTCGTAATGTGCTATTTGCCTCACTTGTGTGTTGCTTTGGACAAAAGTGCCTGTTAAATATGTAAATGTATTTAGAAACAGCAGAAGGAATTAACCATCAATAAAATAAAAAGTCTTATAAAACTATACAGTTGGATGTCTGCTTCCTGATTACCGCAGTGCTCGACTAATGGTGTTACAGTAACACAAAATGTTTAGTAACTACAAGGCTAGTAATAATAAGTATGTTTATTCCTTTGAGTCGATTAATTAGTTGGAAAAGAGAAAAAAGCTTGTCAGAACGTATGGGAACTATGTAATAATACATGTATATGCCAATACATACTTTCATAAATATTGTCACCTATAAAAATCTGTGGCTTTTATTACATGCCTTTACTTCATTAAACCTAATTAGAACGGTGTCTTGCGCAAATCGCCGTAAATATCCCGTCGTCGTATAAACGGTGAAACTCCGCCACCTGGCGACAAGCTGGACCGGTTTGAAGAGGCGGGAGAAAGTCGAAGTGATGAAAGGTAAAAAGGGAAAGTGGTTTAGGAAAGACTGAATGGAAAAGAAAAAGGAAAGTGCAACGGGTGCAGAGTTGCCAGGTCCGCGGTAAATATTAGGCTGCTTTCATAATGTTCCGCCGCAGCAGACTGTAAGGGGGAAAGGAAATGTATTATTATTAATGCAAATGACTCCTAATCCTCAGTAATACTGAATCGCTAGCTACCCAAAGTCAGAGACAGACGCACACGGGAAGCCAGGTCTCACGCATCTGACGTGGTACTCACGCTTTTAGACTCTCACCTAAATCGAAATTATTGCATTACACATCTAGATTAAGCTCTATCAGAAGCGTTGGGGTAGTTTGCAAAACCTACAGACTATTTGCATCGTAATAAAACTGTTACATATATGTAAATGCGTGTACAATCTCAAACTTAAAATCTCACTCCAGCCGGCTGACCAAAGTTGGCAGCCCTGGATAAAAAGAGTGCGTCCGTCTACGTGACGTCATTGTGTTTCATTGTGGGTAACGTTGTGCATTTGAATGTGATCAGCATGCAAAATACTGGTTTATTTTTTNAGAGTGCGTCCGTCTACGTGACGTCATTGTGTTTCATTGTGGGTAACGTTGTGCATTTGAATGTGATCAGCATGCAAAATACTGGTTTATTTTTTTGAGATGCAGTATACTGGGATTTCAAATACTGGGCTGGTTTCAGTTTCCGTTGGGCGGATTTTAAGCAGACCTTGGGCAGGAGATTTTTGCTGGACCTGGCAACGCTGAGCGGCTGGTGAAAGACTGTAGACTAACTGCAATGCAGGCGGCGCTGGGTCACCGCGACGAACACGGGCGCCGGCTTCCGACATGCGCCGACTTAAGGGCTTCACAGACCAAACGCGGCATGCGTTGTGCGCGCCGCGTTTGGTCTGTGAAGCCCTTTACAGTCCATTTCGCTTATCTTGCGCGAGACTGAGGTGAAACTGGCCGGCTCGCGACCCTAAGAGAGCGTGCCCCGCGTGGCGCCACATTCTGAGGAGGAATTTAACCGTGACTCGGGCGGTGAGCGCAGCAAAAAGACTGTCAGTGGGGTTCCCAAACGATTTGTTGCCCCCAGCGACACTGTCTGAACGATTAACAGGTATTTACGAGGTGTTTATAAACGTTAATGAAGCTTCGGGAATGTAATGTGAAGGTCTAAAGTCGTTTCTGAATCGCTTGTCCGACGTCATCCAGATCAAGGCATTATTTATATTCGACCATTTCGCCCTCTGTGGGCAATAAGTTATCACCGGATGATTCCACCAGTGTGTGAAAATCAGTCTCTTTTTTAATGCGTGGTTCCTCGGTGGTCATTCTGTTAGTGTTTTGTATAGCCTTTCTTTCAGTACTATTTTGCACTTGTGACAGGTCGCTCATTGGAAGCTCAGCCTGTTGTATTTATCAGGGGGATGGCCACTCCCCAAAACCCCCTTATCTGGGGAAAATGTATCGTGGAACCATGGCGGAGGACCGAAACGCTTTTCCCTGGCACAGTTCCATGGCCACTAGAGGCCCCTCACTCTCTGCCACTGGGACGGACCAACGGCTGAGATATCCTGTTATATTAGGTGCAGTAGCCACCTAGTGGTACAAGAACTAAACTGGAGGGTGCGGGTTCATATCTCACCGGGTTAACCAGGCCAGTCGATGCCACCATGTTCTCTACTTCCGCCATTGTTTTCTGGGACACGTCATCGGCTCCTGCAGCCACCGTGTCTCCCACTATGCCAGCTTGCTCCGTGGCCCAGTTAGTCACTGTGAAGGGAAGGCGAATCTTCATTTTGACAATTCATGCAAGCTGGACAAGTTTATTTACATAGTGATGTTTATTAGTTGCTGTATTTACACTTGTTAAAGTACCTTAATAATAGTCTAGTACATTGTTTTAACACATTGTGCTGGATGTGCTTACATGAATTTACACTTGATACCACTCCTTCCTTTGTCTTCG